TTCGTTCTCCTTCTTCTCTCTCTCTCTCTCTCTCTTCTCCTCTTTTCTCGCTCTCTCCTCTCCCTCTCTCTCTCATCTCTCTTCTCTCCTCCTTCTCTCTCTCTCGTCTTCTCTCTCTCGTTCCTTCCTTACCTACTACTATATATATTATATATCGTGTGTGTGTGTGTGTGTGTGTGTGTGTGTGTGTGTGTGTGTGTGTGTGAGTGAGTGCGTGCGTGCGTGCGTGCGTGCGCGTGTGTGCGTGCGCGCATGTGTGTGTATGTATTTATTTATATATATATATATATATATATATATGCCTATTTGCCTCTTACTTGAAAGTGAACGAATTCATTTGTGCGAATCCTCTGTCAGAAGCTTACACGTTTCGACGGCCGAATAGCTGTTGATGTCGCTAGCTGGCGAGCACACTGACAGCTGCAGCTACTAGCTGTGCCCGCTATAACACTACCGCCCCCTCAACATTCATGAACGTACAACAAGCGCACCGGCTTACAGGCTGTGCAAATTTGATCAATGCATTTGTGCGTTCACGCCGCAAATGATTGCTTGGCGGTTGTCGTTTATTTATCAAGCTGTTGAGTAGTGGTGAACGTAGTCCCGCCGTCAGTACTGTTAATGTCTGTTTGTGGCAACCCTTTTAGAATCAATCAACGTGACATCCTTAGCTGGAAGGTGAACTGCGCGCCTAAAACCACTAAGTTCAAGATTGAAGGCGAAATGCCAAATGTCACCGGGGAAAGGTAATATCGGATGTATATCTGAGTAGAGTTCGCAATACCATTGTGCTATCCCTAGGTATAATTAGCTTGGCAAATTAAACCCACCTGTCCGCTCATTTAAACGATTGAAGTGCCACGTAATTTTTAAGCAATCACATTTAGAAATTCCCTTAAATAAGTTGTCAATATTTATTAGTTATTAACTATTAGTTGTTTGTTAGAAGCTATTATATATATATATATATATATTTATATATTTATATATATAGTTGTGCGTGTACGTGTGTGCGAGTACATGCGTGCGCGTGCGTGAGTGCGTGTGTGCGTGTTTTTTCGAATTTTATGACCAAATTGTTTGATGTCGAAGTGCCCGTTACGATCGATCATATGGGTGCTGTTGTGGTAAATCATTGTCACTACACTGAAGTCGTTACGCCATTACTCTTCAACTTCCGCAATCATACACGGTTCACGGCAATTGCCTTGCTCAGCATATCCCCCTGGCTCACAGGTTTTACCTCGGGCTTTAAATACGGATGTGGTTGAGACGCGACTGACGAATTCAATGCATAAATTCGTTTCGAGCGCAACCAGTTTGCTCTGGATACTTGCACCCTTGCAACGATTACACGTTCCATGCGATGTGCAACGAAACTATACTAGCTTGAAACACCACAACGTCATTAACCACAAGTTCTGGGTATTTGCATCAATCCTGGACGATACAATACCGGCATGCTGAGTGAAACCCTTCTCATGCCTATATATGTTGTGGCAACTTGAGTTTTGATAAGAAAATTGTCAAAGTTCGAGCGAACTTTCTATGCCAAGATTGCAGTCGGTAAAATCCTTCGCGCGAATTACAATGCTTATTCTGGCACATGGCTTGTTGCTTTTTACGTGATAGAAACATCAGCGCAGAAGCAGGTCGATGAAGGCGAGATTGTTTTAGCAACGTCACCGACTGATTTGTTCCAATCGGCCAATGGATTGATACACATTTAACAGCTTTCGATTTACGGACATCCTTGCATGCCTATTCGGAGATTTCGACATCGTTACGGCTTTACGAAATTGCGTAACGAAATTCCATAACGTAATTACATAACGGAATTATATAACGAAATTTACTACGTTGATTTGTGTTTACCTAAAATATATTGCTTGCCTGTCCGATTTTCGTTCGCGTAAGATTATCTCTTTATCTCTCTCTCTCTCTCTTTCCTGCTCTCCCGCCTCTATCGATTTATTTATCTATCTATCTATCTATCTACCTATCTATCTATCTATCTACGACAGACAGAATAGAAGACAGACAGACACGACAGACAAGACAGACAGACAGGACAGACGAACGACGG